TGTGAGTAAAATCCTTGCGAGATACAACGAAACTGGGTCCATTTTTCCGGGCGCAATCGGTGGCAGCAAACCACGAGTTACTACGCCGAATGTAGTAAAAAACATACGGGAGTACAAACAAGGAGACCCGGGAATTTTTGCATGGGAGATCCGGGACCGTCTTCTCGCGGACGGAGTATGTGACAAGTACAATGTTCCTTCGGTCAGCTCTATCAGCCGGATATTAAGGAACAAGATTGGAAACCTCTCCCCGCCTAACCAATATGAAAATGGCAAGCAAGCACCTCCGCAGTCCAGCCTCTCGTACAACCATATATACCCGTATTCATACCCCAATGCAATGTCTCCCTCCGGGACCAAAATGAGCAATCCTCCCGGTGTCCCTGTCACGGGTGGGCATGTAAGCATTTCCCGCGGTTGGCCTTCAGCGCACACGGTCAGCAATATATTGGGTATTCGGGCTTTCATGGATCCTTCAGGTGAGACTATCGGTTTAGACAAATTTTAACCGCACATCAAACGGTTACATAGGCCTCAGCCTCAAGCTTGATTTGTGGTGCATACACAAAGCAAACTGACGAGGCCTATGCAATCACCTAATGTGTGGCTTATTTCAAATATGCATTTTGAATATTGATACAGTTACATGAAGTTTAAAATTAAAATGTGAAATTTAGAAAACAGTTATTAAGACGTATTCACGCAAATATGGCCTAAGAATAACCGAGTAGGCCTTCGGATTCTAGATATTGTAAAAAGTGGTAACCTGCAATTGTTATAACTATTTAGCTACCTGATTTGACCCATAAAATAGTTTTGAAAATGTATGATGTATTTATGTTGATTGAATCATGTTATATAGCATTTTAGACTAAAATATTTATTAGATATTCAGATGAGCAAATTATATCGATTTAGATATTTAAAAAAATGTTTTTTTTTTTTTATGTATATACATACTACGGTGTGTCTATTCCTTAATTTAACGAATAAATTGTGATCACGCATTAAGCAACCCGATATATAACATATATAAAAGAAATCATTATAATATGCATTATATATAAAACACGTTGTTGGAAATACTGTATATATGTTATGTATTCTTATATATGAAAATATATAGCCTACCTTATATATGGTCACCTCGAATAATTGATAATATGCAGCATTTTCGCTTAATACGTATCCATGTTAAATGTGCTGCACATTTGTCGAATGTATTTAAAAGATAGTTTAAATCATTCAATTACAAGGGAGACTATCGCTGACATTAGCTAATTCCGTAAATAATGCCTTATTATTCTTGGAGTAATTTTGATTTATTTAGTTTTAGTTTAGTTTTTCGACAAAGCAAAAACAGAAAGTTAAACGCATTTAAATCATTTTTTCCTCTAGCTATTGCTAGCGCTGAAGGATACGCACCAAAAATGGAGGA